GAGAGAGAGAGAGAGCACGAGAGTGGGGTGAGGGATAGAGGGAGAAGCAGATTCCCCACTGAGCAGGAAGCCCGATGTGGGACTCAGTCCCAGGACTCCAGGATCATGACCTGAGCCGAAGGCAGACACTTAACTGACTAAGCCACCCAGGCGCCCCATGTTTTATTTCTTAAAAAAGGAAGAGTAAAGAAAAAAACATTGCAGCAGCAAACATGGAAAAACAAGATTTTCCCCAAAGGAATGAATACATAATTATTAATGATACTGTTTTCTACAATTGTTCCGAATGTTTTAAATATTTCATTATAAAATGATTAAAACAAAAGTGTCCTGGTGATTGTGATGCAGGCAGTTGACCTTTGGGAATTCTTGCCGTTGATGCTTCTAGGGGCTTTTCAGTTCTAAGTGTGTTTGTGTGCCGAGAACTCTCCCCCAAGCACCTCTCTTATTCTTGTAGATGGCGGATGCCTATCAGGCTGTGCCCAAGGCCTGTGGCTTCCTTGTGTTCTGTCCTGATGAGATGCAGCCACTTCTCATGTTGGTGACGTTGGCAAAACCCACCAATCTAACTCTACTTTGAGGACCTAGCCTACAAGGGTCTCTTCCCTGTTGTCTCCTTCTCTCCTTTATTAAAGGAGAAGTTCTGTCCTACAACTGCCATAATCTTAGAGCTCTAACCTCCTGCCTCCCCATCCCCAAGGTGCATTTATTTTCAGAACACCTTCATTGACATTTCAGTGGAAGGACTTAGTATCCGTGTGGATCCCAAGGGTTTTCTTTGCCTACCCCAAGAATCACCATTTGAAATCAGTTCTCTTGTTGCTGTATCTGCTTTTGTAACTTCTTTCTATACCAGAAGTGTCCCTAAAATTTAATCAATAAGGATGACACCTATTAGTCTGTGACTCAGGGAGGTTAAGAAGGACGAAATGGCTCTAGCAGCTGGTGCCAAAATGGACTTTCAAATTTAACTTAATTTTGTTGTTATTATTTTTTAATGTAGTCTGTAGTGGTAGTTCTAAACTAAGGATGATTCTCTCCTCCCTCCCCCCAACCCAGGGGACATTTGGCAGTGTCTAGAGACATTTCCGGTTTCCAAACTGGGGGAGTGCTACTAGCATTGGGTAGGTGCTAAACATCCTATAATGCACAGAAAAACCCTACCCCCCCCATAACAAAGAATTAGCCGGTCCAAAATGTCAATAGTGCCAAGATTGAAAAACCTGGTTCTACGCATCCTCATAACATGACTATCCCCCTGTCAGTGAGGGACAGTGATTAGGCTGTACTTCTGTTAGTGTGGGACCATGAAACAAGGGATACAGGAGTCCCTGTGAATATGTGTATAGACCATTCCTGTATCATCTTCACTGCATGGTGTGGGCTAAGGAGTCAATGGTATTGGAGATGGAGAATGAGAAGAGATTAAGGAAAAACTGAAGAGGAACAGAGTCCAGGTGGTGGGGAGAGCAGAGAGAAGCTGCCTCTGATGCCTTTGAACTTGGCACCTTGCTATTAATAGTACCCTCATGCTATAGAAATACAGGATAGGGTATTTAAAAATATTCCCAATGAAAAACGTGGTAGGTAGTTACAGTGATGGCCTCTGGTGAGTTGTGCTGTCCTCTGCCCACACTTGTCTGCGTTGTGATTTTGCCATTCCTCTCGTCAAGAGGTGGAGTCTCTTTTTCCACCCCATGCATCTGGGCTAGCCTTGTCACTTGCCTTGACCAAAAGAGTGTTGATGGGTGACTTTTGGGGCCATTCAGCTTTGTTTTTCTCCCTGTTAGAGCCTTTCTGCCATCATGTGAGCAATCTCAGCCTGACAGTCAGGCATTCGGCTGGCCCGGCCCCACATAGCTCCCAGCCAACCTCCCAGCTCAGTGAGCTCACGTGAAATGAGCTTGTGTGCCCAGCCAGTCCACAGAGGAGTGTGGAATAATAAATTGTAGTTATTAGAAGCCACTAAACTTTGGGGTAGTTTGCTACACAGCAATAGATAACTGGACATTGTATGTAAGTGACTTCATCTGAAGCAGTAGACGATGTATTTGCCTTAGGATGTTGTGTAACTATCAGATCATGGTTAAGAGTCCTTCCTCCTTTGTTTCTCGTAGCACTTCTCAGAACTCCTGGATGAGTTTTCCCAGAACGTGTTGGGTCAGCTCCTGAATGACCCTTTCCTCTCAGAGAAGAGCGTGTCGATGGAGGTGGAGCCATCCCCGACGTCCCCGGCGCCTCTCATCCAGGCCGAGCACAGCTACTCCCTGTGTGAGGAGCCTCGGGCCCAGTCACCATTCACCCACGTTACCACCGGTGACAGCGTCAATGACGGTAAACCCAGAGCAGGGGCAGCACCTGGGACCACAGCACCTTTGCCTCTGAGCTCCTCGGGGGTGTGCAGTGTGTGTTACGCTTCTGTTGGCACCCACTTTAGCCACATACCTGCTCCGTGTAAAGCCTAGGGCTTGGGCTGTGGGGAAGTACAAAGGGGCGTGGGGCGCATTTCTTTACCCCTGGCTGAGTCCTCTGGGAACTTGCTATCTCTGAATGGTAGTCGTTGCTTTCTTTGACCCTGTGGATTGGGCAGCAGAGCATCCTTTTGCAAATCAGGTTGGCCTATCTGGTTGATAATTCCAGGAAGTCCATTGTTTTAAGAGGTCATGTCATTTTTTTCTGAGGAAGAATTTTTCTGACCACTCTTCTCCACAGAAGCTTCTTGGGCATCCTCTTAACCCATATTCACTATGTTCCCTTGACCACATGTATATGAGATCTTGGTGAGCATTCCTAGTATTCTTGGTGACCCTTTCTTGCCCATCATCAATGCCGTCAGTAAGGTATTTGTTGAAGACCTAGTTTTCTTGGCTTTAGAGTATTAAGCTGTTTGGCCATTTGTCTGTAGAGTGACTGTCTTCCATGTCTGAGCTCCTTTATCACATATTATCAGTGCCTTAAAGTATAGCCATTCATTCACCTTGTGGTTCTTGAGTTCACAGGCGAGACATTGAAGGAAATATAAAAAAAAAATGTGCACGTTGCTCTTCTAGAACTTATCATGTGGGGAACATGAGAAATGTACACAATTGACAGTAACAATGTTGAAATATGCTAAGGGTGGTGGTGAAGGTGATGTGATCTGCAGTCAGACCTCAGTTTAAGATCTATGTCAGTGACTAGTTAGGGGCAAACTACTTAATATCATCAAACCTCAGTTTCCTCATATGTAAAAGTAGGATAAAAACAGCATCGACTTCATGTCCTGTTGTGAAGATTAAACATGAGAATCTATGCCAGCGCCTAGCCCAGGACCTGACTCATAGTAAGGATATTGTTCTTAGCTGCTGTTGCAATCACTATTATTCCAAACCAGGAACTATAAGAGGATGGCAGGACCTTAGGTGGTCAGGAAGTTTTTGTGGAGGATTTCTCAATTTCCCAGGCTATGTGCTCCAATGAAATATGATAGTGGGTTCCTTCCTGTCAAACTTACTGTGGGATTATTTTCTTTTTGTTAGTTTAGTCTTCATATGTCTGTTAGATTCAGCGAATTTGCTTTAGATTATAATCTTTAAGAGGGCAGGGACAAACTACAAATCTGATGGAGCTGGTTTCTTAGGACTAATGAATGGAAATATTTCTCTGGATAGTAGTTAGGATACTCATAAAGTCAGGACTCCCAGGAGTTATATGGGATGAAGATATAAAAAAATTGAAGAAGAATATTCACTTTTGTTCATATTCATTCCCTATTGCAAAATCTCAAACAGTTCTCCATTGTTCTATAGAATGAAGCCAACCTCACGACATGGCTTTTGAGGCCCTTTGTGGGCTGATCCTACCTCCCTTCCCCACCTTGTCCCATTGCTCCCTGTCTGCGTGGCTCTGGCATTGAATTCTCCACTCCATGCCTTACACTGCTTTCTCTACTCTGAATTTCCATTACCTTCTCTCACCCTCTTGTCAGCCCCACTAGTCGAATTCCCACCAATCCCTCAAGACTCAACTCAGTGTCATCCAGTGTCTGACTCTCCCATCTGGAAGTTGTCAGTCTTAATGTTTTCATAGCACTATTATTGTTTGTATGTTTATTTGTTTCATTTTTGCCATTTTTGTGAAGACTATTACACTCGTCCTTATATTTCAGCTATTATTTATTTTTCTGTTCTCTGTTTTGAGCTGGCTGTGAGCAAGTGTGATTATGTGTTCCTTGTACTTGCTTGGCACTTTGAAGGTATCTGATGAAGAGTTATTTCATTGAATTAATTGTGCAGTAAGTTGTTAAGGGAGAAGATATGGAAGACTGAAGCACGTTCCTCATCTCTGGTGATGGCGTCAGGGAAGACACCTGTTCTGTTCTTCCGTGCATTGCTAGCTCTCTAATGATGCAGATACACTGGGCTGTGAGCATTTGATCAGGTGGTATTTCTTGGCTTTTAGCAGCTGTCTTGTGTAGAAGGAAACACAGTACCATGGAGAAGCAGATATTTTATAAATGCTTTATGATTCACTCTTAAAATTCACTTCATAGTGATCTATTGAGTAACTACTTTGTACTTCACCTGCCAGGGACTGTCCTAAGCATTGAGGGTAAAAGAGCTAACACAATGAACAAAGATCTCTGCCCTTGTGGAGTTTACATTCTAGGAGATAGGGGTGGAGTAGAAAATAAGAAAAGGAAAGAAGTAAAATATATGGTTTATTAGATGGTGATGAGCGATACACAGAAAAATAAATCAGAAAAAAGGGCAGGGAGTTGCTGGGGGAGGTGGGCTGGTGTCTTAGTCTATTCAGTTTGCTTTAACAAAAATCCCAAAGACTAGATAGCTTATAAACAATAGGAATTTCTTCCTTACGGTTCTAGAGCCTGGAAGTCGCAGATTAGGGTGCCAGCAGGGTTGGGTGAGAGCCCTCTCTAGTCGCAGACTTCCTGTGCTATCCTTACTTGGTGGAAGGGGTGAGGGAGCTCACTGGGGTCTCTTTAATAAGGGCACAGTTTCCATTTGTGTGGCCTCCATCCTCATGACTTAAGCACCTTCCAAAGGCCCTCCACCTGATACACCACATGGGGCATTAGGATTTCAACGTAAGAATTTGCGGGGAGCACAAACATTCACACCAAAACAGGGGAGGAGGAATTGAAATCTTAAATAGGATAGGTAGAGCCAAGGCCCTTCTTGGAAGGTAGTGTCTGAGCAAAGATCAGCAGGAGATGAGCTAAAGAACTAGATGTCTCAGGAAGAGGCTTCTAGGCAGAGGAAACAACAAGAGCAGAGGACAGAGGTGGTGTGGCTGGAGTCCTAACCACAGAGCCACACTTACAGTGAGACATTAGCATCTGTGGAGTCGGCAGCCATTCTGCAGACTTGCTGTTCTAGAATATGCAGACTAGAGAAGTCCTCAGTGATCAAGGCAGATTGGCCTTCCCCTTCAGTTCCACGTATGTTTGTTGAACACCTGCTGTGTGTCAGGCGCCATCCTACCACTTAAAGGACACAATAGTGAAACTTAGATCCTACCTCTAAGTAGCTCAGAGTCTAGTGAAAATGCCACGTACCTCCGTACTTTACCAGACGGAGTATAAGCAATGTCCCAAGGGGAATGAAACTGTAGAAGTTCAGAGCAGAGGGAGCACGCCCAAGGAAGATCATAGGAAAGGTTGCATGAATGAGGCAGAGCTTCCTGGGGCCTTGAAGCATTGAGTAGAGTTGGAACAGTGGCTGTGGCCACTCCCAACAGAGGGAGGCTGGAGGGCGAGGACATTGATTCTTCTAAAGCAAGATCTCTAGTGAAATGACTGCAAATAAGCAGGTTTCCGAAAGTTCAGGGTCTCGTCCTCTTCCATGATGAAATGATTTCTTCGTATTTTAATTGTAATCGATAGAAATGTAACGTAGGGGAACTCATGAGTGCCACCTATGCCAATGGTATTGGGGAAAAAGAATCAGTGGGTCTTTTCCAGGAAGGCTTTCTTATCATTAGGCCAAAGCGCACACCTTTCAGTGCCCTCACCTCGTGCCTTGTTCTATTTATAGATCCCATGCTGCAACAGGCCTCTGCTAGTAACTTGCTGAGAACAGTTAATAGTGGGTCAAATATATTTTGCAAAGGGTTTCCGATCCACAGTTGATGTTCAAATATTGGTATTTCTCTGAGTTAAAGACACCTTTCTCAGCCAGCAAAAGCACTTGTATCAGTAGGGAATAATCAACAAGGAGAGTAATCATTTGGACTGTGAGAAAATCAAAGTTAGACAGTGTACATGAGTAGATGGGGAACTTTCCTGGGAAAGCTTTGTCCAGGTCTCAGCTTCCAGTGTTTTTCTGAGTTTTGGGTGAAGGGGCAGATGTTTGGGAACAGAATTACCGTATTCATTTGAACCCCAATTTGCATCTGCCTTGAGGGAGGACCAATCCCAAGGATCCCTCTTGTGCCACGTCCTCTGTCAAGCAGATTCCCTCCCTGTTGGAGAAGGGGGATAGCTCTTTAGGCAGTGCGTCAGGAGGCAGCCTTTAAAAATTGCTGTTCACATTAAATTTAATATTCTTTTTCTCTTGCATTGGGAAACAGCTTAAGCAGAACTAGGAGTCCTTGTTTCTAGGGACTGATAGTGAGTCAATTATTTCATTATACCTGGGAAAGCTAGTGATTCATATCTCCTTGTCCAATTTTTCTTAGATTAAGTGGAATTCTTCTATAGTTGCCTCTAAGCTAAAAGAAAGTAATAACGGTTTGAGTAGACCCTGTCCTAGTTTATTAGGATTTTTCTCCCTCTTTCTCCCCTTTACCCTCTCTTCTTCCATCTGCCACGTCTTCCTTCTTCTTTGTCCTTGCTTGTTCTTTCTCTGCTAACTCTCTCTTCTCCCCCTACCTCCCTCCTTGAGCTCCAGGCCAGTTACATAGGGCATATTTAGTGCTCTTATCCTATTAACTTGTCATGGACCCAGATGGACTGTAGATCCCTAAAATTATATACAACATTTGGGCTCTATCTACATTTGGACAAGCAGAGGAGTGGTTGTCCTCTCTGAGTCTGGCGCCTGGGCTTATGATAGAAGCTCTTTCGCTATTCATCACCATTCTTGGTATTGCCTTTACTTTCTTTTTCTAACAGGCAAAAAGGATAATGAGGCTTCCCCTAAAAAGAAAAAAGAAAGAAAGAATGAGTGACTTCTTTGTCTGCCTAACCCCTGCAATGCTAGAATGGCAAAAGAAAACAATGTGCACATCATCTAGCAATTGAAATTACTTTGGATATTCACGTGTGAGAGTCATAACTTTGCTTAAGGAAGAGAAGTGTACAGGAGACGTTGTTTTGTGTGTATTAAATGAAT